AATAGATCCGTTGACTTCGACTCAACTCAAAAACTCGTATGGCACCTTGAATTACAAGAAAAGCGCACCAAACACAATCCCAAAGCATTTATTGAGTGACACACGTTGGTCTGGGGGTTAATCCAAACACAGGGACAACGAGGTTCTGATCAAATGAGGATGCTTAGAAACACAATAAAGGGAACTTGTGAAACATCAGGAGATTCAGACCGAGGTGCAGTTACAGTTCTGGTCCGCGGGGAAAGCAGTTTATTTATTTACCAAAACGGTAGCCCGTAGGTATCTAATGCAGTTAATCCTGCAGGACGGGAGAGTCAGTGTGTGATGGGAAGGGTTGATAGCCACGCACACAGAGTATGAATGCTATAAGCAGCAAGTCTTGGAATATTTTTTTTCCCTTTCACTGCCCGAAGCAGGAGATCTTAATCTCCCCATTTAAAGAACACACACCACACAAGCATGCATGTGGGTCCCTAGGTAACAGAAACTATTCTCCCAGAAGAGGAGAATTATCTGCAACTTCGTTTAGACCCCTGATCAACACTTCTCCCTAATTGGCTACTGTCATATTCCCATTCTTGTACACTCGTCTTCTGGCTGACTGCACTATTTCTATTGCATTTGTATCCCAAGGGACTGAATGTTCTAACCCTGGGTCACGCTCCCCTGCCTACCCTCATAGCAGAGGGTGCTGCCACCTAGTACTTCTAGGCCACTCTTCAGAGTAGATGTTTGGTGAGACTCAATGAGACACATATTTGGTGACACAAAAGCTTATGCCTTTCTAAAGGAGTTAGTCTCTAAGGTGTCACCCCGCCCTGCCTTCTGCTTCACTTCACACTGACACAGCTAATTACCTCTCTCTCTACAGTAGTGAGAGAATGAGACTCTTCCAGACTGAAGGAGAGGATGGCTGCAGGGCCGAGGTATACTGGTGAAGACGGACTTTGGAAGCCTGCATGGTGCTTGCCTCACTCATGTAAGGTTTGAGGTTTGTATGTATTCTTGCATGAGAGTTACATCCTGGGAGGGAAGGAGGGAGGACGCACTGAGCACCGAGATGAGTTTCGATGACTCAAAAGGGAGAAAAATCGTCTTCAAACTCTCTGCAAGCCTTGTGTGTTTTACACATTCCTTGATATCCACGATCTTCATATAAATTATCTGAGATACTGGTTTCCGCTCTTCAACAAGAAAGATGTAAAATTTACTGAAGTTGATGGGCTGCCAGGAATCTGACTAAGCTGCATAGAGTTTGATATTTTACAGCAGCAGCAAGTAAAAATCAGCTGCATTTGTTGCCAAATGTGTGTTACTGTTGTTATCTTTTTTAAACTATCATTCTGTTTCAAGACCAAAAAAACCCAAATGACGAAAACTAACTTTACACATTTTGTTTGTTCCAATGTGTACCCACAGACAGGTTGGTACACTGAATCTGTATCTGCCACGTGCTTTCACGTTTATTCTCTATTATATTTTAGTCCCCTCCATTGTATAAGAGAAACAGCTGCACAGATGTTCTATAAATAAACCACATGATTTATTTGAAGGGGTTTTTATTACCACGTAATTCCCACTATTGTCCCTTCTTCATCTCCTCCGTAAAAAAAAAATGAGTTAAGTAAACTTTAACCTAGACTTAATCAATGTGCAGCACTTTACATTTTCAACAGTTGTGGCTTTTTTTGGCTGTTAAATCAGGTACACCTCATGTAGTCCCTGGCATTTGTTACTGTGTCCATTGTAACTAGTTTCTAAGTGCACTGTGTCATAAAACCATAATGTACAACTAGCAAGTACGCTTAGGAGAACATTCCAATAACTTCTAAGTCTACAAGTAGATAGTTTGAAAAAAGTCAGGGTGTTTTTTTCAAAGGATATGCCTTTCTTAAGCTGCTATCCAAAGTCTGTTTGTCTGTTCGCAAGAGACACATTCCTGACACACAGAATGAGACCGAGAATCTCAAAGCTTATTCATGTGCACAAGAAACATGAAAGTGTCAAGGAAGATAAGACACTGACCTCCTTACACATCCTATCTACTCATTTCTCAACCTAGAAAAATGCATATTTAGCACATAAGAAAAGGGCATGAAACTCACACTAAACTCCTTATGAGATAAAAAATTTACTAAGTTCATTAGTATAATTAATGAAGTTAACAGGCTTTGTTGGGGTGCCCAGCACTCAACAATCATGTCCATTATTTAGGCACATACATTCACTTTTCTGCCTAATTGTGAGTCCAAAGTATCACCATCTTGTCTTTGGTCCATAGCTTGCATGAGAGCAGCTAGCTAAAACATTCAATACATAAGCTGTTTTGACCAAAAGTAAAAAATTACACAGTATTCTCTCTCTTCCCTGATTGAATGAGCTTAAATACGAGCACTGGAAAATATTCATGATAATGGATTTCAAATTCTCTTTCTGCAAGAAGACATTTCCTTAAAACTTTCTGTTTCTGTGAACATTCCTGAATATAAACTCATCTGCAAGGATAATTGAAGAAAGCAAATATGAAAGAGTGCAGATTCAAAGTAAGCCTGTTAAAAATAGGAGCATACACAAAAAAACTTGTGGTGTTTAAACAGCTGTTTGTGATACCCAGTGCAGCCACCCTACATAATAACTTTATATATCACCATTTTGCAGGTGACAGTCTTCAACAACATAAGCCACACACACATATCAAGAGGATATGACAAAAGTATAAGAAACAGTGTCTCCATCGCACACTGCTCTTGCAAATGCTATTTTTTTAAATGTGCTTTCACCATTTCTGGCAAACAATCTCTTTGATGTAAACAAGGGCAGTGTCAAAATACTGACTGAGTGTTTAAAATACAGCTGGTTCTCTGAGAAAATGAAACCTTTGCAATATATTACGGACAACCCTTAGTTTGAGGCCAGTCTTGTTGAATCAGCGGTTAAAACATCTCACTGCCACCAGGGAGAGGCAGCTTCCAAGTTAAGTTTGGGCCAGCAAGGTCTGGCAATGTTAGAAGCAATAGTCTGGCCTTATGCTGAATCAATTTAGAATAGCATCATCGTCTTGAGGGAAGTGGTCAGACTCAATAGCTGGTAGATGATGATGAGGCAGAAGGCAATTTAATAAGGAAAATGACAATCCAGATGGAAAAGCAACCTGAGCCCTGAGCTAAGACTGATCTCAAAGTAATGCTACGGGGTGTTAGGAACTCCCACCTCGTTTGCCAGGCTCTGGGTTGGTAAATAAAAGACACTGCTATGACAAACCACTACCAGTTTTCAGACGAGGAACTAGACAATTTAAGATCAGGTATTCAAGAGACAAAAGCAGATTTCTTATCAGTCAGCAACAGAAAAAAACTACCAGATGATTTATTGGTTCAGGGACTCTGAAGAATCCTTTTGGCCTTTTTCCATTAAGATTTCAAAGCCCACGTTACGGCAAGTGGAAAATCGTTTAATTTCCAAATTGTGCCCCGAGACATAAAATTTGTGGAGGTGATTCATTACTATTTATATAATGCCATGCATGGTGCTTTACAGACAAAGAGAAGGCATAACCTGTGCTTTAAGGTATATTAATATAATCAGTGGATCCAAACATTTGTATGCAAGAAAAACACAGCTCGAATATTTTGGGGGGGACTTCAGCCTCATGCTAGAACAAATGGCTCTTAAGTTTTTTTTTAAACGAGGATACTTACCTGAGCTCTAAAACTGGAACACAACCAATCAGGTTCATAACACTCCCCCAGTGTCTGCGGGTACTCGGCACCAGCAAGAAGCACGCAGGCTCCATTGCGCCAGTTTAGACCATTACACAGTTCACATTATTAAACACACTCGGTTCAGTTACTTTAGAGGATTACTCAGAAATTTTATAGTTTGATTATGAAGTTGATTTAATGACCTCCTACCCTAACTCCATAATCTCCTGATAAAAGGGATCAGTTGTGAGTCTTGCTACCAAGCATGCACTCTGGGCCGTTCACCCAGGAGGCAAAAGCTTATGTTGCAATAGGGCTTGCAATGGCAGTGATTACTGTCAATAACTGTACAGAGGAACTGTTAAATGAGTTAAGAGTCTTCTTTCTAATTCCAATTAGCATACAACTTCACTTACAATTTGAACACTAGTAATCAGGAACTACATGACACGTTGGCAGACCAACGGCACCATCATTCAGGACTTCTAATACCATTCATTTCTCAGAGTTGTGTGTAATCCAGAACTCACTAAGTAAACAACCTGCAGCTGGTGTCTCATCTCTCATATCTGCTCTATACATTTATATGCCTGCTTTTTCAAATGGGTGAATGCAAACACTGTATAGCCAAATGAGAACATCACATTTCCCAGGCAAAATATCATTATTGCACATATAAATAAGGTATCTGCACAACCAAATGGCCAGTTAAACATCATGATGGCACTGCATACTCATGTAATTATATCTAACTACCTTTGAAACCTGGGTCCTATGACATTACCCGTGATGATGGCATCTTTGTTTGCTCAAGGTAAAAGCATTAATGTCACCCAGTTCTCATCGTGGATGAGATTAATTCTGCCACTACCAGTCATACAGCTCAGTGTTTGACAGCAAGAGAATTTTGTCTTCAGTTTTTGATTTGACTGAAGGCTCACAGCTCCTTTTAAAACAAGAGCAATTTTGTCTGGGTTTATTTTATTTACTCACAGCAAATGCTGTTTTTGCTATTGTAGTTTTGAGGAAATATCCCAGGGACTTTTAATTCTTGGAAATCTTCGCTCTTTTGTAATAAATCCCAGTAAGAACGAAGAAAAAAAGAGCCCCTAAAAATAGGCTATTTAATGCTCTCTCAGGTGAAGAAACTGCTTTGCTAGATACACAAGACAGTGCTTTGCTCAAAGGCTGTTTTTCATGTTTTGTATTCCCTTGATGTCAATGGATATGCAACAGGTAATATAAACCTCTGCAATCAGCAGTAACAGAAATGAAAGAATTAGCTGTAAATTGACTTACGGAATAGCCTCTTCCTGAAAATGACTGAGCAGAACTCTGTGGGAGGAAACAATATGCCATAGTAAGTAAGGCAAGTGATCATGTGTACTATAATATATATATATATATATATATATATAT